AGTAGTTTCCCAGATACATGTCTTTAAGTTTTCGAAAATCCGACACGTTTAGAAGAAAAAGTGTCCGTTGTTCTTGTAATGTGCGACTTGTATCTATTGAAACCCGAAAGTACAGTGATTAAAATGCTATGTGATAATGATGCTGATTAAATATAAACATTACTCTGTGACATAAGTGTTTTTAATTTCTATGGAATGAAATTATTACTTTCTGCATTAAAATTAATTTCATTGACTGTACTCAGTGGTTAGGGATATATTTGTTATTATTATTATTTGTTTCTTTTGCTTTGAACCCTGCACTTTATTATTTTGTTCGTAATTAATATTTTTTTTCCCGTTCTGTGGATTTTACTTTTTATATAGGCACTTGAAGGCTAGATGCTTCTGTGTTTGACAGAGGAAGAAAAATATTACAGTATTGCCACTAATGGTTGATGGTAAGTATATTGTTTTATTATAGTTATTAATTAACTGTCTAATTAGATATTTTAAAACTATAAACTCATTTGTTGAGAGAATTTTCTAATTAATTTTAAAACAACGCCATGTTGTCCTGTGCAGAAGTTTCGATGTGGTGAGCGATGAAATAAAAAATCCTACCTTTTATTTTTAATTATTTACGTATTTATTAAAAATACAATATCTTATTTACGTATTTATTTTTGTGGAGAATATTTCGTGTGTTCACAATTGTCAATATGGCGACGTTTGTGTTTTAAAAATAAACTTAAATGTAATTTCAGATGCCACGATACAGCTCCTTTACGTCTTGTTTTAATTTTGCTCTACGCCATGGGGCAGAGGCCTTGTCAAGCTAAGAAGGGAATGGTTAGGTTGGTCATGCCGAAACCTCACCTGATATTTTGTTCATCTACAGAGCCCATCTAGTAATGATTGTCCACAAAATTTCAGCTGCTGATACGATGTGCTGAGGTGCGAAAAAGTTACTCAAAATTCGAATGTACATTTAAAATTCGCGTGTGACTGCAGTTGCACGGTATTCACCGGTACATTGCAGCGTAGAGCATTTTTAAATAAGGGCAAATGAAATTGTAAAACTTCCTTCATGCCTCTTTTCATTACTTTTAAATTTATTTCCTTCTTATAGAGAAAATATTTAATATTAATTTATGCTTTTTACGGTTAGGATGGAATGTGACCAAATTATATCTTTGAGTAATTCTCTCTGTATTATTTTTAACTAAAAAGTTGTCAGTGGAACCACGGTTCCGGAGAATTTGACGTAAATACGTCTATACGGAAAGGAAGTTTATATATTGGCTTTATTATAAATATTTCCTTTATACCCGCTTTACAATTGCGTAAAGTTTGATTAAGACATTGCTTAATCAACTTGAATTAGTTACGCTTAAGATGGGTCTGTGGTAGCTGAATGTAATGTAA